CTGGTATTTAATGTTTGTCACATCCCACTGAGGGCAGAGCCCCACACGCTGCCCTGCAGGACAGAGCTGGGCAGGGCAGCAGAACATGTGAGAGATAAACAGAATAAACAACCTGGAAACCAGCACAGACCAATTATGGCTGATTCTTTGAAAGACAAAGACTTTTACAATCTCAGAATCATCAATACCACAGATTCCGACACCAGGCTGCTTTAAACACGTCACCTTTGTGCCACATCAGCATTTTGGAGAGGGATCACCACTGAGATGGGTTGGATTTCCCAAAAGCCCCTCAGCAAAGAGGGGATCAAGGCTCTGAGTGGAGGCAGAGCCCTCAATCCCAAATTTCCCACCCCTCCCTCTGCCGTGCCCACGCCCCACTCCTGCATCGTTCCCTTCTCAGCTCTGGGATGAGGCAGAAGGATCTGCTGGAATTCCAGGGGGTTGCAGGTGGCAGAGGACACACCTGGAGCCACACAATCCTCTGGTACACGTCCTGCCTCATGCTCATCTCCACGTCGAACTCCGAGAGCTTCTTGTCGGCCTCGGTGCTGGCGGCGCGGGTGGCCTTGCAGGGGGACACGTGCTGGGGGAAATCCAGCATGTTCCTACGGACTGGCAGGAGAAAAGGGGACAGGGATGGTGGCTCCACGTCCCAGCACACGCCCGGAGCCAGGCTGGCAGCCCCAGAGCCTTTTCCACCACGCTGCAGGGGAGGGAGGTGGGATGTGGCTCCTGCTCCCTTTGGTGCCTTCCCTGCCGCCCAGCACATCCACCCTGCTGGATTCCCGCCACAATCCTCCCAAAATCCATGGGAATTCTGTGCCTGTGAGCCCCCAACAGCTCTGCCCCAGCTGTGGCAGCACGGGAGGTTTGGGGAGGCCTGTGCAGGGCCAGGAGTTGGACTCGATGCTCCTTTGCAGCTGGAGGAATTCCACGATTCCTGATGGCAGCAGCATTCCCTGCCTCCTTTAAAGCTCAAAGTGGGACAATCCCTTCCCGCAGACACTTCCCAAAAAAGCCACCACGCCCCAGGTGCGCCCTGTCCTGACGCAATTCCACGTGGGAAGGCAAGGAGAACATTCCCTGCTGTTATCCCTGCAAAAAGCTCCAAGAGCAGCACTCCAGGTGCTCTCCAGGCACCTGGATTCTGCCCCCAGCAGAAGCTGAACAGGCAACTCAGGCAGGGAAGTGCTGACAGCCGTGCTGAGGTGCACATTCCTCCTGCTGAACAAAAGGAATTACGCTTTTTCCCCAATTATTTTAGGGAAAAAAGAACTGGGAGAGGAGGAGGACGAGGCTGCTCCCGGCCCCAGACAGGTGGGGCAGCTCGAGCACAGGGAGCAGCCCAGGTGTCACGAGGAGGGGCCACAGAATTGTCACCCTGCTGCAAATAATCATCCAGAAAGCCACCAGAAGAGCACAGTTTTGGTGCCATCACGTCGTGGTACTCCCCACCCCTAAAAAAATCCCAGCGGGATTGATTCTCCCAAAAAAATCCCAGCAGGATTGAATCTCCCAAAAAAATCCTAGCAGGATTGATTCTCCCAAAAAAATCCCAGCAGGATTGATTCTCCCAAAAAAATCACAGCAGGATTGAATCTCCCAAAAAAATCCTAGCAGGATTGATTTTCCCAAAAAGTCCCTACAGGATTTATCCTCCCAAAAAATCCTAATGGGACTGATTCTCCCAAAATATCCCAGCAGGACTGAGTCTCCCAAAAAATCCCAGCAGGATTGACTCTCCCAAAAAATTCCAGCAGCAAACAAGGCACATGGAGAGACATTTGTCCACTGTCCCAGGGAAAATTGAGGAAGGAAGTGAGAGTTTTTGGGATCTTTTCTCTGCTCCCACTGGTGACACAGGAAAGCTGGGACAGCTTTGGGGACATGGCTGCTCCTGCTGGCCTTGGGTTAATTTGCTTTTCCAAATCTGCTCTTTGTGCTGGCTCCTGGCTGTGTAAACATTAACTGGGAATAAAACCAACATTCTGCTGGCAGCCACGGGGAGAGAAAAGCAGGTGACAGCACAGAGCTAAAAAAAAAAATCCAAAAATCCTAATAATCGTAGAATGGGTTGGAAAGTCTCTCAAAGCTCAGCCCTGCTATGGGCAGGGACATCTCCCACTATCCCAAGCTGGCCTTGGACCTTCCCAGGGATGGGGCAGGCACAGCCGCTCTGGGCAAGCCGAGAACCTCCCACCTTCCCGGGAAGAGGAAGGTGTATCCCACCTGAGTATCCCACCCTGTGCCAGCAGGAACAGCTCCCCCAGCCCAATCCCACTAATCCCACCTGAGTATCCCACCCTGTGCCAGCAGGAACAGCTCCCTCAACCCAATCCCACCAATCCCACAGA